TACCCTTGGCTCACTCATCGTGACGACTCTCTGCCTATTTACAAGAACTCTTCTTACTGCGTCGAAGCTCGAGTGGAAGATCTAGTCCAGCGCATGACGCTGGAAGAAAAGGCCGGTCAGCTTTTTCAAACTCAGCTCTACCAAGGACCCAATGGCACCCTTGAAGAAGGCGATGAGGCCGCACGCCGCAACAGCACCGACAACATGATCGGTGACAAGCACATGACGCACTTCAACCTCGTCGGAGATATTACCGACGCCAAGCAAGTTGCTGAATTCGTCAACCTCGTTCAGCAACGCGCTTTGGACACCCGCCTGGGTATCCCTGTCACGCTGTCGACAGACCCAAGGCACCACTTCACTGAAAACATTGGAACCGGCTTCCAAGCTGGTGTTTTCTCCCAATGGCCTGAGACTCTTGGGCTCGCTGCTCTCCGAGACGCTGAGCTGGTGAAGAAGTTCGCCGAGATCGCGCGAGAGGAGTACATCGCCGTTGGCATCAGGTCAGCGTTGCATCCTCAGGTTGATCTAGCCACTGAACCACGATGGGCACGTCTCGGAAATACCTGGGGTGAGAACGCAACTTTGACCAGCGAGCTCATCGTTGCCTACATTAAGGGCTTCCAGGGAGAGACATTGGGACCCCACTCTGTCACGACAGTGACGAAGCACTTCCCTGGAGGCGGACCGATGGAGAATGGCGAAGACTCTCACTTCACCTACGGCAAGAACCAGACTTATCCCGGCAACAACCTTGAGTATCATCTCATCCCATTCAAAGCTGCTATCGCCGCAGGTGCGAGACAAATGATGCCGTACTATTCCCGTCCCATTGGAACTCAATACGACCCCGTCGGCTTCTCTTTCAACAAGCAGATTGTCACAGACCTTTTGAGACAACAACTTGGCTTCAATGGTATTGTGGTTACTGACTGGGGACTCATCACTGACACTGTGATCCGTGGCCAAGACATGCCAGCCCGTGCCTGGGGTGTCGAGAACACAACCGAGCTCGAGCGTGCAGCTCGTATTCTGGACGCTGGCTGTGATCAGTTTGGCGGCGAGCAGCGCCCTGAACTCATCATTCAGTTGGTAAATGAGGGTATCGTCGCCGAAGAACGTCTTGACGTCTCCGTTCGTCGTCTGCTTCGTGAGAAGTTCATCCTCGGCCTCTTTGACAACCCTTTTGTGGACCCCGAGGCCGCTTCGAGAGTAGTAGGCAATGACTACTTTGCTCGCCTTGGCAATGAAGCTCAGCGCAGGGCCTACACACTTCTCACCAACAAGAACGACATCTTGCCGCTCAAGGCTGTCAAGACAGAGACTAGATTCTACATCGAAGGTTTCAACGCCACATTCATCGAGGCTCGCAACCTGACCGTTGTTGACACGCCCGAAGAGGCCGACTATGCGCTGATCCGCGTCAACGCCCCCTACGAGCCTCGCAGCGGAGGATTTGAAGCCAGCTACCACGCCGGCTCCCTTGAGTTCAATGCCACCGAGAAAGCAAGACAGGCTGCCATCTACTCAGCGGTCCCCACCATCGTGGATGTCATCTTGGATCGGCCAGCGGCTATCCCTGAAGTCATCGATGCTGCTTCGGCAGTACTTGGAAGCTTCGGTAGTGGAACCGAAGCATTCCTGGACGTCATCTTCGGCATTAGCTCTCCGGAAGGAAAGCTGCCCTTCGACCTTCCACGGTCTATGGAGGCTGTTGAGGAGGCTTTTGAAGACGTTCCTTACGATACGAAGGACCCTGTCTTCAGGTTTGGCCACGGATTGAGATATGCTGATAAGTGTGTTGCGTAAATACGTCGACTGATTCCTTTTCGGGCTCTTGAACAGGGGGGAAGTAATGAACAGCGGGCTGGAAGGGAAGGTCAACGAAAAAACGGTATGATCTGATGAGTTTATCGGAGGGGGAAACATGGGTATTATAAAGCTTCACGTACATACCTAATTACTTGCTGAATTTGGACATCCTTATGAATTGATGGGATCATTTATCCCTTGCTTCTGATCTTCGAAGCCATGTTTCCGTAATTTGCTGTTTCGTGTCAATCCCAGACGTGAAACTGATTTACGCAACTCTCAACGTGTGTAACGTTGTTGCATATCCATTTTGGAATCATCAATGAAGGAGATTCATCAGTACCTGAGATGTATGATATCTACATTGGGGATAGCACATGCCAAGCATCGTTCAACTCCATAGTCGATTCTAGTCAGCCCGACGATCGAATTAGACCATGCCAAACACTTTCTTTTTGACTTCTTCGCTTTTGATGGTCCAGACCTTGTCAAGCTGTATTTACTCGATCCATCTTTAGTCGCGACGGTTATATAGATAAAGACACTGAGAATCAAATCTCACCGTGTCTACGTCACACATGATGCCGAAGATCTTCTCGCGTAAACCACCAAAGCTAATACCCGAAACGCTTGAAGTCTTTGAACGTACCTCAGCTAGTCAAATTTCAGCGATGAAGGGCTGGTCAGGCATCATAATCGAGGCGCGAGCAGAGCAACAGGCCTTGTTTCTGCACTTAAACCAGGCACATGCAGACCTTCGGCTGCACTTGTAGGGTGTTCCATAGCATGCTTTGCCGAAGCTGTATGTCATGGCCTTATCGCTGGGCCCCCAACCTAAGCAACTTGTTCCTTATCGCGAAATCTAACGGCTATCAGATATCCCAGCCGCGAATACCCTAGAGCCGGCGAATCAGACTCGCAGAAAACAATAATGATCGCCATGTGAAATATCACAACTCCAATGGCGGTCATACCGTCAGGGGAAATACGGGGATACCACTGCCTATTCGGTCAAAATACACGACCACTCTGGCCGTCCGAAGAATTGTCCTCGGTCGGACCAGTCACTTTCCCTGCCAAAGCGCGTCTGTTCAAACAGCTCCGTCCCTTGTTACCCCGCCTTGGCACCCTTGGCATCCACTCGGATGCGAGATGTCTCGACGAGATTGATATGAGTGGTCGATGGGGTGTCGCGAAAAAGCTTCTGTTATCGGCAGCTAGCTTGTTGTGGAAAAGGTGACTGGGATGTGGTGACATGGAGCTAGGTTGTTTCTAGGGAACAGATAGGCCAGCGTTATCAGACAAGCTTTTGGTCCGCTCTCGAGGGCACCCTGTCTTACAGGCATATTCCAGAGTACGGCACGGGATGTCACAAGCTGTGACCTCAGCATGGTTTCCCGAATGCTATTAATTGGCCGGCTCCCGTGGTAGTTCAGACGTGAGGCCGTGAAACTCTATCTTCGTCGCACTTCTCCGCGAATTCAACGACGAGGCAAGATGGCGAAAACCGAATATGAGGACTTCCAGCCCGAGGTGGAAGCGAAGCCGACGAGTAATGGAAGGAGGTCGTCTCGGAGCGGCACGTTACACAGCGTTGCTGCGGGCGATGTTGAGACACTAGAGCAATTGGGCTACGAGCCATCCAACCTGCACCGAAACCGATCTACGCGCACGCTTCTCTTCCAATCCTTCGCCATCTGCTCGATACCATACGGACTTGGCGGGCCGCTCATAAATGTCATCTACGGCGGTGGCCCGTTGGCCCTATTTGTTGGCTGGATAGTTGTCGCCCTTCTGAGCCAATGTGTCGCCTTATCAGTGGCGGAATTGGCTTCTCGATATCCAACCTCTGCCGGTCCGTATTACTGGTCATTCCAGGTCGCGTCAAGAGGCAAGGCAGCTCTTTCTTTCGTCACTGGCTGGACCTGGTTGATTGCCAATTGGACCATCACGCTTTCCGTCAACTTCGGCTTTGCATCACTCCTCGCCGGAACAATCACCATGATGGAGCCGACTTGGGTCGCAACGTCATGGCAGCTTCTTCTCATCTTCTACGGTCTGACGATATTTACGGCGGTGGTGGTCATCTTCTGCAATCGATGGCTCTCGACTGTGGATGCATTCTGTTCGGGATTCATCGGGGTGACCATCTTTGTCGTCTTGATCGCACTCTCAGTCCAGGCAAAAGCAGGTCGTCACGACGCGGCCTATGCCCTAGGCCATTATGAAGAGACCTTCTCCGGGTGGGAACACTTTACGTTCTTCATCGGTCTCTTGCCCTCGGCATACGTCTTCTGCGCTGCCGGAATGATCTCCGCCATGGCTGAGGAATGCAAAGATCCATCCGTCAGAGTGCCCAAGGCCATCGGACTTACCGTCCCTATTCAAGGCGTGGCGGGGTTGTTCTTCATCCTGCCCATCTGCTTTACCTTGGCCCCACTGGACCAGATCATTGCCTCCCCTTACGGCCAGGCCTTGCCGGTTGTTTTCAGCGCCGCCATGGGCACTCCCGGCGGCGGTTTTGGGCTCATGATTCTCGTTTTGATTGTCACAATCGGTTGCAGTCTGAGTATCACAGTCGCCGCATCTCGTTGCACCTGGGCATTTGCTCGGGACAACGCAATCCCAGGTGCTCACCTGTGGTCCAAAGTCGACGCAAAGTTGGGGGTTCCCGTCAACGCCGTTATCCTAGTCACCGTTGTCGAAATGCTGCTTGGTCTCATCAACATCGGAAGCACTTCGGCGTTCACAGCATTCGTGTCCGTTGGTGTGATGGCCCTGGAAATTAGCTACCTCATCCCCATCCTCATCAGCTTGATGCATGGACGTAAAGAGGTCAATGGGGCTCGTTATACCTGTGGACCAAAGATCGGCACTCTCGTCAACTGCATTGCTATTGGTTGGATCTTCTTCCAAACGGTCTTGTTCAGTATGCCCACTGCGCTGCCAGTCACGGCAGTCTCTATGAACTACGCTAGTGTGGTCTTCGTTGGTTTCGCCGTGCTATCTACCATATGGTACCGGGTTCATGCACGGAAAGGTTCGTTAATCCTGGTATCTAAACTTTGCGTACATATACTGACTTCCCCCACACCAGTTTACAAGGGGCCGCCTGCAACAGATGGAATCGCTGCGTGAGACATCGGGGTTATTGGGGAGACGACGTAAGAAACAGTCTAGAACTCCTATTAGACCGAGAAATCCCAGTTATCAAACGAGAAGTCCAGTCCAAACATGTTTTGCGCGTCTCCAATACTGGATAGCCCACCTAGATGGAGAGATTCGCCCACAGGTGTTCTGAAACTACTCGCACCCAACCCACCACCTTCCACGCGCTGGTGTTGAGCAGAGCCCTCGGTCTCTGCCATAAAGTGCTTCCGCCAAGTTGCCAGAAAATCGTGCACGACACTAACACTCAGCCGATTCCGAACCTGCTTCAGTTGGATATCCTCGACTGTCGTGCCACCGATTTTGGTGGGATCGGGCAAGGCGCAAAAGAACCCGATGACATCGCCTAAGCGGGCTGGCAGATCGTTGTTGACCACGCTCATCTTCCTCAGAGCTGTGATGGATGCTTCAACAAGCTTCATTCCCTCGGTTGCATCAACCAACGAGCGGAAGTGGCCGTTCGATGCAATCCTGAGGACAATCATGGATGCACATACGAAGATCTGATAACAGAAAAAGGGGCAGTAGTCGAAGAATTGGACTTGGCGCTCGTCTAGCATCCGACTTGAGTCGATCAAAGAAGACGCTGTGACGTAGAGGGCACAGATGCGCTCTTCATAGCCCTCAGATGAAGCATGGTCGAAAAGGTAGAATGCATGCAGATGAAGCCGCGCCGCTGTGGAATGCCACGTCTTTACTTCTATTCGATATGTCAGCTGGGGTCCCTGGAATCGCGAATGATACTGACCAGTCGCACTTGAGATGTTCAAGTTCTTGCCCTCAATTTCAGTGATCTCTTTGTTGAATAGCCGATATAGAATTAGTCGTTCTCGAGTAGCCGGCTGATGTCTGGCATCTCGTGGTTGGTCCATCAGAGCCATGGTGACTCGACTTCGAAATGTCTCAATCATGAGGTTGTATTTGAACTTGGCGTTGTCGACAGCGCTTTCTATATCGTTGCGTACCCCATTGTCTTGCGATATGCCTGAGCCGTACTGCTGTAAGGGTGTTTGCAAGCCGCACCCAATAGTCGCACTGGTGAGTAAAGCTTCAGTATGTCTATGCAGATCAAATGGCTAATCTCAGCCGAATATTGCTTGGTCGGCACATGTACTGACCTTTGAGAGACAATCATACATGCTTCCCACGTCCTTGTCCACTCAGCAAGCTCCTTTTCAGTCAATTCCAAGGGCGCTTTCGAGAAGTCCTGTGCATCAACAGGACGGTTAAGTCCCATCTGTACGCCCATCTGAATCATCAAGCCCGTCAACATGAATGTCGGATCTGATGTACTGCTGCTTGTCGGGAATGGCCAGGTGCATATCAACGCAATAGCCTGAACAACATGCACAGAATATGGTGCAGTTCGCACAGTTCTCCAGAGCAGGTCGATGACGTTACGAGCCAGCTTCGGCAGCAGTGTTGGCTGTGACTTGAGTCTTCTGGCACCGATGGATATAATTACCCAGAAAAGGAGTCCAGAGAGTTCGTAGTATTCATGCGGCATTCTCGCTGTATCTATCACTGGCAGAAAGGGATGATAGTACGTTTTGAAACTGTTTTAGGTATCAGGGTCAGTTCGATGTCACTCTGGTAAAAGATTGCCGCTGGAAGAGACTGCTGCGATACTTACATCTGGAACAGGTCTTCAATCTCTTCCACAGAGAGTACGGCGTTGCCCAATGCTCGTGGACGAGGCACATTGAAAGACCCTCGGGGTAGTCGGCGTGTTGTCTGTTGGTCAATCTCAGGTCTTGTTGTTAGACCTGGGGCCCATGACTGTTCTGTGGTGGTGGTGTCTCCTCCTGGGGATTGAATCGCACCAATACTTCCTGAAGGTGGTGCGAATGACAACGCAGTATCATCGCGGTGAGCTACAGTGGCGTTGTTCGGACTGAAATCAGGATGTCGACTGTTTCCTTCTGTTGCCGTCGCCCAATCTGCCTCAACTTCCTCCCCAGCAAGAGGAAGCGAAGTAGTTGAGGCCTGTGCCTGGGCTTCGTTGAGCTGCCTTTTCAGTTCAACAATTTCATCCTGAAAGTCAGTGGACCGCCTGACCAACGTATCGATTGTCAGTGTCATGGTTCTTCCTTCCATGGCTTGGATTAATAAGGGCTGTCCTACCTCCTCTTTCTGGTTCTTCTGAATCCATTCTCAATCTTGCATTCAAGTTCTAGCCGGTGACACCGCCGGCATTGGCTTTGCATATGATTGTGTGATTCTCGAGATACATATTCGCAACGAAGCTTTGTACCATCATTAGCTCAATCATCGGGCCGCTAACAAGATCCAGTGAGTGCTGACCTTCTGCTGCTTACATTGATTACAAGCCTTCCTTCGTGATGCGACGTCGCCAGGCGTCTTCTCTGACGCATTTACGGAAGTAACACCGGATCTAGATCGCGTTGCCCGGGAAGATGGACTATTGTCTCCTGGGGATGTTGCAGTCCTTGGGCTTTGCATTTCGGGAGCAAAATATTGGAACAATTGACAAGGAAGGCCGATACGGAAGCTGGCCGGAGTGGCGGCTAAGTCGATGGATTGTGGAGAGAAGCAAAGGAGGAACAGTTTTGAGCCGATCGGAATTCCGATCGGAGCTTGGTGCAGATGGCTAGCGCAGGATGACGAACACGGCGCGGGGTACCTTTGTGAGCAAACCCATCATCGACGTCATCTCGGAAGCAGGCCGACTTTATGTTGGTTCAGATAATGCTAGAAATTTGCATTCTACAAGGAATTCTTCCTCGAGCTGGTAGAGATGAAAGTCTGTAGATGAAGCAAACATGCGCCGGCGCCTCCTCTCAAAGCACTGACCGGATTACACCTTGTTGTAAAAGTTTCCACCTGCTGCCGAATCAACAGACATAGCTTCCTCCAATCCGACAATGGTAAAAAGGTTCTTTGGGGTAAACTCCTTTTCTAGACCTGTCTTTCCTGTTTCCTTGATTTTCACAAAGACATCCTTGATCGTCTGGTATGCCGGAGCAATGGACGCGAAAGGGTAGATGATGACTTTGAAGCCGAGCTCCTGGGCTTCAGCCGGGGTCCATGACGGTGTGGCACCATGTTCCACCATATTTAGTAGCATAGGTGTAGGCCTCATTCGCTTGCAGACCTCTCTTGCTTCCTCGGCTGTTGTAACTCCTTCCAGAAATCCGACATCGGCACCCGCTGAAGCGGCAATCTTGAGCCTGTGTACAGCCTCATCAAAGCCATGGGTTTGGAGTGCGTCGGTCCTTGCAATGATGACGATGTCTGAGCTTAGGCGCTTCTTCTCGTATGCAGCAGCTGCGATACGTTGTCGGAACGTTTCAATGTCAATTACCGCCTTGCCGCCTAGATGCCCACAGCGCTTGGTTTGGACTTGGTCTTCGATGTGAAGGCCAGCGACGCCTGAGCGATGGTATTGTGCTAAAGTACGCGCGACCATGTTGGGACCGCCATACCCTGTATCGGCATCCGCTATAAGGGGCACTGACGGGTTGAGGTTCGCGATCATTTCTGCGTGCTCGCGCATATCGTTGAGAGATGCAAAGCCGAGGTCAGGCTGCCCGAGCTTGGAGGCGCATGTCCCAGCTCCTGTCTAAGCATGTCAAACTCGTTAGCAGGCCAGCTCCGAATAACAAGTGGCCAGAATACTGTGCTTCGGTACCATGTAGATGCAGTCAAAGCCGACTTCGTGGGCGATGCGGGCGCTGTAACCCTCATACACGCCGGGAGCAATGAGAATCTCATCACGCTCTAGAAGTTGTCTCAGTTTGACACCGGCAGACATACCAGATGTGAGGTTTTTATCAGCAGGAACAGATCCCATGGCGAATAGAATAAGCTTTCTGGACTGTAGGTGTAGGAAATGAGGCAGGATCCAGCTGTCTGTATCAACGGAATGAAGTTTCATGACAGTCAAATTCCCTTGCGCATTTATAGAATATATTTCAACCAGACTCTGAGCTACGGATTCCTCTAGGAATTCTTTTGTTATTGAGTGTTACCTACTAGATAACGTCCGGACCGGTCTCATTCGTCGCCGATCGGACTTGCAAGTACACATAGCCTCCGATCGGCCTCCCCGCATCGGACTTGAGCGCCGATAGGAGGACACATTCTGAGCCAGCGTTTTCTCCGGAAGTCTCCAGAGTCTCCCCATGGGGAACGGTTTGCACATCCGGGGTACTTGCAGATACTTGGCTGCATGAGATGCGGCGCCGGGTGCCATCTTCCAGCTGACCATGTATGTAAGAGTGTAGCTAGCTGGTGCATAAAAGGTCATCAATACTCTTACGTCTTCGAGCTATTCCGTGTTCTCTCAGCTTGAAAAGTGCCATTTGTTTTGGCAGCTTGATTATAGTTTCGACAATGACTACGTCTGTAAAGAATAACATCATAGAACCCTCTACTGCTCACCTTGAGGAAGGCGAGTCTTTCGAACTCAAGGCATCTTCAACGAACCAAGGCCAGAAGAGCAAGCATCGACATAGTTCCCTCGGCCATAATGAGAGCCATGAATGGAAAGCAGCCGAACGCCGTGTCGTCCGAAAACTGGACATGACCTTGTTACCCGTAGTCTGGGTTCTCTACATGTTCAACTACCTCGACAGAAACAACATCGCGTGAGTTACATCCGCTCATCCATTTAATTGCTACAAATAGCTCTAATGAAAGCAGCCAAGCCCGTCTTGACAACTTCGAAGAGGATCTTGGCTTACGTGGTACTCAATTCAACGTCGCCGTATCCATACTCAACGTTGGCTACATGCTTGCTCAACTTCCTTCCAACATGATCCTCACACGAGTTCGTCCGAGCCTGTATCTACCATCCTGTGTTATCGTCTGGTCGGCTATATCGGCAGCCACGGCCGGTATCCGCAACTACTCAGCCTTGATTGCTGTGCGATTCTTCCTCGGCATCGTGGAGGCCCCTTTCTTTCCAGGAGTATGCAAAGGCTTGACGGAATCAGGGCTTTTTCTTCTGCTAATATGATCATCGTGAAGGCATTCTTCATGCTATCGGCATGGTACACCAGCAAAGAACTTGCTCTCAGAACCGCAGTGCTCTACTCGGGTCTGGTGTTAGCTACGGCGTTCTCCGGGCTCATCGCGGCAGGCATCTTTTCTGGTCTATCTGACAAGGCGGGTCTGCATGGATGGCAGTGGCTGTTCATCATTGAGGGAGCTGGGAGTGCGTTTGCCGCCATATGTGCATTCGCCCTTTTGCCTGACTTCCCCGATTCCCAGACGGGGAGTGGTAAATGGCTGTTCAGTGCTGATGAACTCGAGCTTGCACAGCAACGTATCGCTCTAGATCGGGTCTCCGTGCCTGAAGCTGACCGGTCCATATGGCATGGACTGCTTCTTGCTGTGAAAGACATCCGCACGTGGATATTTGTGAGTGTCGTATACGATCTTCGACACGTTCTTTGCTGAATAGTCCCAGGTTATTGTCCTATGCGCAAATCACACCGCGTACGGCTTCAACAACTTCTTCCCAACGTGAGTATTCTCCACGAACGAGTTCAAAGAGACCGATGGCTGATCCCAATCAATTATAGTATCGTCAGCTCCATGCACCTTGGCACCCGCACCATTACGCTGGTTCTGACGGCCCCTCCATACTTATTCGGGGCCGCCATCTCCTTCATTGTAGCTCGCTCAAGCGACCACTTCAATGAGCGCGGCTACCACATCAGCGTACCGATGGTTGTGGCCATCGTGGGGTTCATTATCTCGACGGCAACCCTCAATGTGCCTGCCAGATATTTCGCCTCGTTTCTTTACTGCTCGGGTGCTTTTGCTGCGAATGCTGCAGTTTATTCCTGGGCCGCATCCTCTCTCAATCAAACACCCGAAAAGAGAGCATGCGCCACTGCCATCATCAATCTTCTCTCCCAGCTAGGGAACATTTGGAGCCCCTATTTCTTCCCATCATCCGATGGACCCCGGTATATCATGGCAATGCTTCTTATGATGGCGTTTTCGGCGTTGAGCGTGGTGTCGTCTTTGGTGATGAAGTACTTGTTGAAAAAAGCGAACAGGAAGATACTTGCGGAGGCGGAGCGAATAGGGCAGCAACCCAAACTTCATACCGAGTAGATAGGACCGTCGGAATCAAAGCAGCACATGTCGTTGTGAGTAAGCTGGTGAACAGAAAGGAAGGGAATCTCTATTTTCTATACATTTACACCAACTCAAGCGAAACATCAACATCTTGGGCAGCCTCTATGCTCTTGCCCAGGACATTCTTCTCATGATCCAGCAGCTCTCTCACGTTTGTGCCGACCATGCAGCTCATGTCCTTCTTCTTCGCACCCTTGACCCATTGCTGGTCAATCATCCAGTGCGTCGGAACCTCGAACTCTGTCGCGTTGCCCATCTTATTCTTCAGCAGCCCGCCGTTGTACCACAGCAGATTATCCACCTCGTCCACGTGTGCAATCACGAAGCTGCACACCTGTGTCATATCCGTCTGCACTCCGCGGATCGGAAATCTCCAGCCAACCATGCCGCCATAATGCCTGGAGAAGGAATATTTTGATCCTGTCACTTCCAGACCGATCCAGTAAGTTTCCTTGTCCCCGTAGGTAATCCGATACGTCCAAGAGTTGCGCACTGCATAGGTGTTTTGCCAGCCGATGTGGAGCAGACCGATGAGCACGTCCAGCCGCCCCTTGTTAAGCACAACGATGCCAGAGTCTCCCTCCTCGGCGTATCTCTCTGTCCAGACACGCGATTTCGACAGTTCTTCGCTCGGGCGCTTAATCATCTCGTGGTACCAATCGTGTCGTTCGGGGAACTGGCCCTTCCAAAGGAGTCGGTCGTGGAAGAGCAGCGCGCCTTTCTCGCGATAGCTTCGCTGCTGCAACAGCTGTTCGGGCGCTTGCATGAAGACGACATCGGCGTCCAGGAGAATCACCTCCTCGAAGCGACTGCCGAGCGCGGCAAACGGCTTGATCGCCCATCCTCCCTCCGCCAATCTCAGAGTGGTGTCATTGAACACTGTTGTAATGTCCAGGAACTCGATGTGGCCATCATCGCCCGTGGCAGCGGCCTGAACAAGTGTATCACGGTCCTCCTCGCTCAAGTCCTCGTCGCCGGCGTACACAATCTGGATCGGTAGCGTGGTTCGGTGCACGCGCGTCAGCGACGCCACCAGATGGCAAGCGAATCGCAGCGTGCCAGATCCGGTGGGGATGACGATTCCCGCATTTTTCGGCTTATAGATGCCGTCGTCCGCTTGCCTCCTGGAGGTAGCGTCGGCCGCTGCTGCCGGTGCGCCGGCAACTGCATCGACGCTGTCCTCGACGACTGGGACGACTGGGAGCTGCTGCTGCTGGGGCTGACGAACAGGGGGTTCCGCACTCCCAAAGCTTCGCCGAAGATCCGCGAGGGGTGACCGGCTGTGAGGGTCTCTTGGCGGAGATTGCAGGAAAGGGTACAGGGATGCCGCGACTCGTTCGATTTGCTCGGCTAAGAAGTCTCTCTCAGCCCCCACAAGCCGCTGTCCCTTTGGCGTCCTCTCCTCCAATGCCTCAATCCATGAGCGCAAGATCTTTGTCCTCTCGCCGAGTTCGCCAAAGATCTTCTTGTACGGGGGTCCGAGAGGGTAGTCGACAAAGTATTGCGCCGTCTTGTTGATTGCATCGAGGTTGAGTCCTGATGTTGTGGACGTTCGGAAGCTGAATTCTGCTGAGCTGAATGGTGTAATATGACCGTCAAATCGCAGCAAGTAGACGATGGTAAGCGTGATGAACGCCGCCGCCGCGAGGACGGGTGTCGACTGAGCGCCGTATCGCGATGAAAAAAGTAGTCGAACCATCCTCCACCATGTGTTTGGAACAAGTCGTCGAAGTCGTTTCCCTCGCGGCAAGCTGCGCGCAAGACACCAGACAGGAAACCAGACTGCGCGGCCTTTGGAAAGCTGGGCAGGCCGTCTTTAAAGAGGCCAAGACCTGCAGCGATAGCTTCCATTTTTGGAGATTGAGGGTTTTTTTTAGTGAAAGCTTAACCATGCCGGGTTTCCTTCCGCTGGGGCAGGAATTAATCTATCTGACTGACAGCTCCTCCGTGGTGCGGCTCGCAAGTCCCGAAGCGCTTTGCAGACCTGCCAAACAACATAACAGGCCATCCTGTTTGACGTTAGATAGGCCGCGCCAGCAGGCTCAGCCGTGGCGTCGTCTTATTGCGAAGCTCTTGCGTCTAGGATCCCCTTTCGACTCCGAGCTGCCGGGACAAACACGGGTCTTGGATATAGCGTGGCCCCACGTCCACTAAGATCCAGGCCAATGCCTCCCCCGCATTCCGAAAATCATGCCCCTTTTTTCGTAAATGGCAAGATCTCTTCGTCTCTTTTGAGGGTGAATGAAGCTATTTTGAATCGTGGCAAGATGGGTTGTTTTGTGAGAGCCGAGGTTTTCTTGGTGTTGAGGATTTGCACTTGACACATTATGATCATCAATCAACGTTGTCATGGTTGCACCAGATTAATGACCGCCTGTAACGCTTGGCGGGCCTCTGATGCTTCGCCCAAAGTACTTCAATCAATCGCGAAATCTCACGTACATAAGAAGGCGCCCAAACTCGGGACGAAGATTCAGCGAGATGCCAGCCGATGTTTAGTGGAGACACGGGGAGCACCAAGGTTCTGCCGTTTGGTGACAACACCCCGGGCAGACCCCTTTCTCATCGCCGGCTCTGTTTTTGGACTTATCCAGCCAATGGAGTTGCGGGGGGTTGATGGTCTTAGGGCTTCGCGAATGCTTGACTGCAACGCTGGAGTCTGGAATCTGGAGTCCCCGATGAAAAGTGCCAAGTCTCGCGTCTGACAGTGTTCACTTTCTGTAAGATCGACAGTTGGATTGTCATTTGCGAACACGGGATGGATCATTTCGCTCGCTGTCCCTGGGTGCATCGCCAAGCTCCTTTTATCGTAGCTGGTCTGCCGTCGAACAAGCTTGAGGCTTTTAGGGGTTCGCCGGTCGGCTTTGCTTCTGAAAAGGGGTTAAGTTAGTGCTGGGTGCCTGGGTGTTTGAAACGGCTGACCGCTGTCAGTGTCAATGACTCAAACCATTAGGGCGCAGGATCACTAACGAATGGGCGCATTGTCAGGCATCGTTGCTGGAAGTCAGGGTGATTATTTCATTGCTGTTGTTGGCGGCCTTTCCATGGAGGATCGGCGGAATTAAGTCCTTGGAATTAGGTGGGTGTCAAACGGTGGCAACAGCATATCGCAAACCGCGGGTTCCGATATGCTCTGTTCAGGTAGGCCGGAAGCCTTCTTAAATCGGAAGAAAACTCTGTACTGAGACCACAGTAGTCTTTGAAGAAGGTGTGTTCGCGCCTGAGTTGCTTGGGTTGTGGCATACTGGCTCGATCCAGACATCAGACTCGATGAGTTCACCTATTATATTCATATGAGACAGCTTTGAATGTCGCGCCAGTCGACGAAACGTACACTATGTGAGTACGGCTTGACTGTCTGTGGCAAGGAGAAACTCGTTCATATGTTGGCCAGCTCAGTCTCAAGTGATCTATCTTTCAGTCGCCTCATCCCAGGATCAACGTCCAGGCGGCACTTCAACGTCAACTCTGAGGTAGCCATAACCAATGGCCTTTTGGTCTTAATTGGCTCTAGACTGAGGAGGCTTACTGGGGCTTTTCAATATGTTCTCCGGTGTTTATTCGGCTCCCAAGTCGTTTCAAGCGATGACCGCGGTCTTTTGTTTTCCCCGTCGACCATCAATGTATCAGACCCTCTATTGCGATTGTAACAATCGGAAGGATATGCTTCTCCACGCTGCCCTGGAAGACTTTGTGATGAATGGTATTTGCGACTTCTTTGCTCACTTTTCTTAGCACGTTTCTCGTACCTGGCGACCTTATGTTTCCACCTAGGGTCATCATGTTTTCCGTTGTCATCAGTGCTGCTGCGGCTCTGTTGATAGGCGTTCGGCGACCAAGATCGTCCTCGCTCTCCGGGTGTGATGGCGTCCTCCAATATCGTAATAATCTCATTCATTGCCTGAGCTTTGTCATCTCCCATATCTTCCGCACTGTCCTTTGCGTACTTCAAAAAGCCGCTTTTCTGGTCATTGGTGAATATCCTACATCCTTCCCTGAACAAAAGCCGAACCACTTCGTTGAAGGCCTTCGCTATCGCTATGTTCATAGCTCTGTCGAGGCGTATGTCTTGTCGTTCTTTCGGGAGGCGTTTCCCTAGAACAACGCGGGTGGTTGCAAGATCATCATTATACAGGCAATGCTCCAGCGCAGTTCGACTACCCACTTCTCTGGCTCCAAGGTCCGCACCTTTATCCATGAGCGACTGAACCATGTGATGGTGTCCATTGGCAGCTGCCCATATCAGTGGGGTCCTCCCGTTGTTCGCGCTTGACTCGATGCAAGCTTTCCTGTCTAGCAAAAGCTGCCCCGTCTGTTCGAAGCCTTCATACGCAGCTGCTGCTAATGGAGACAAGCCCCATTGATCCTTGGCATCGACATCGGCGTCGTTATCCAAAAGGAGCCTGACCACGTGGTGGTGATTCTTTCTGGCTGATAAGTGCAATGGCGTGATGCCGTCATCATCTCTTGTGTTCGCGTTCGCGCTATGATCAAGTAGCAGACGACTAATTCGCACATGACCCTCATAAGCTGCTACCGTCAGGGGGGTGCTGCCATTGCGGCCAGTAGCCTCAATGTTGGCTTTGCGATCGATCAATAATTGCAATAAACCATCATGACCTTTGCTAGCTGCCATGGTCAATGGGGTTTCTCCGTTTCCATCTTCGGCTTCGAGAGGGGCGTTTGCGTCCAGCAACAAGCGGGCAATCTCAACCCGACCGTAACGAGCGGCTAGAGTGAGGGCATGTAGGTCTGCGCCGGTGTCCATGTTGCTAATGCCGGCCTTTTCATCCAGTAACAATCCGACTACCTCAACATGATCGCTTATCACAGCCAAGGCAAGAGGGCTTCGACCATCAGAACCTTCTAGGTCGATATCTAGGCCAATGTCTTCTCTGCGCTGTAGCAGCAACAGACACACTGATATTAAGCCCTCCGATGCTGCTCTCCCGAGAGGAGTCAGTCCGTCACCATCTTGAGAGTTGACGCTGAATCCTCTTTCAAGCAACCAGATGAGGGCTTCGATGTTATGTGACTTGATGGCGGTCGACGACGCTGCGGCACTCGTGCTGGATTTGGTGGCGTCCTACAGTTGACCAGAAAGATATTCCATCGCTCCTAGATGGCCTATGGCAATAGCCCTCATGAACAACCTGATCTTCTCGTCGAGAATTGACTCTATATCTGCATCTTGAGCTGGCAAAGTGCGGGAGAGGCTTTGGGCGACTGAATTGTGCCATTGCATCAACCTCTGTACTCCCACACCCATTGGTAAACGTTCGCTGAGGGAGGATATTGACTGAAGTATCCCGTTCTTTTTCTCTTGAATTCTTTCATCTTGGTTGGTGAGGGATTTCAGGAATCTCTCTGATTCAGCCATTTCTAATGGCAAGCGCTCGAGCTCTTTCTTCATTGATGAAAGTCGAATTTCCTTGTACTTAATGTCCGCCTGTTTTTCCAGAACTGAATGTGCTGCTCTGTTGACCTTTGGACCTAGTTGAATATCCTCTTCAAATAGAAATTGAAGCCGACGATCACACGCGACCAACTCAATCTCGCTAGTAATGTCCAGATAGTCGATTTGTCGTCTCTCCAACTCAGCAAACGATATTTCGTAGACGACATAGCCGCCTTGACGTTTGGTTGTTTGCTGAACTGTCAAATTGCACCAGCCATTGCTAGCTCTTTCTGTTCCAGTGAACCGCGAGAGGGAGGGAAGAGCGGGGATCTCACGCGCAAGGGTGTCCGGTTCCATGGATCTGGAGGCCACCATGAGATGGCATGTTAGCTGCGGTTGCGACGAGCTGATTTCCAATTCCAACATGACGACAAAGTCCGGACTTTGCTCCTCATTGTGCCGGAGTCTGATCCATGAAAGCTGTTTAGTGTCGCGTAGGAAGTCAACGCCAGTGATGCCGAATCTCTTGCGCGTGTCCCACCGATCCTTCGGGTAAACATCGAACACGGCCAATTTGCTGGAGGCTGGTACTTCAATGCTGTATCCGTACCTACGATCAAACTTTCTGATGTCTTCGGCCAGTGAGAGGTCTCTAATTCGCAAATTAGACGGCTCTTGTGAAGAATCTGTGTCAAATAGCTGTATGGCTTTGCTCCCCTCGGGCCTTATAAACTCATCCGTTTCCGATCCTGGCTCGACTTGACAGAGAGGAATTCCTATGCAACCCTTTTGTTGGGGCCTTGAATAGCATTTGAGCAAGCCAAAGGTGTGTCCCGCCTTGGTTGTGTGGAGTGGAAGTTGTAAGTGATAGTAGCCCCCGTTTACGTCCAGGCGTTGTCCGCTGTGACCGTTTTCCCAAGGTACCACGGTCCCACAGTTAATGAAGTCCCGAGGGCTGGCGGCCAAAATGTTCCCGTATCTATTTGTTGAAGGTTGTTGAGGGTGGAGGTCGTCATGTTGCAATTCAAGTCCCCAGGCTAAAATGGAGGCGTCTGGGGTTCTCTGGAGGGTGGCTTCCTGTAGCCGGCCGAATGCAGCCGAAGCCCCTTCTCCATACATGATCGGCAGACTGACGTTGAAAATACCGAAAAGGCAGTAGGCCATGTCTTCTCCTCTCGTTGTCACTCTCTGGGTAGCCCAGGACATGCGCTGGGCAACGCTTGCATCCCGGAAACCGCCGAGGAATCGAGCAGGAATGCCAGTGGTCTCTTCGATCATGCTAGTCATAGAGGCTTCCTCTCCTAGCTTGGTCCAGCTTTGACTGTAGAAGACTAGGTCTTGGGGAGCTAAGAGCTCCTGCAATGTCCATCCTCTGGTGTGCCACCGGCTTCGTCGGAAGCCGTTGTCGAACGTCGAAGCTGACGTGTCGGGCACATCGGCAAGATTAGCATAGCAACGGCCAGCAGTCTGATACCAAGAAAACATGGAAGTATTGCTTCTGAGTAGTCTGTGTGGTGGGATTTGTCGATGCAGCAAGTATCGATCCAAACATAGTCGAAGCCATCAGCTTTCGCCTGCTGGCAACATCCATCAAATTTTATCCTGCCAGGTCCGGTTTTGGATAGTTGGTGGTCTTTCTGGATATCGCTGAAATGTATCTCGTCTTTCTCTTCTCCCTATGTGTGCGAAAGAATAGCGTAGAATGGGAAGTCATCCTGAAATTTTTCAAGCTTGCCGTTGTGAACGTTGATAACCCAGATCATGGTCGATATCTTATGCTGTCTGTCGTGCGAAAGATTTAGAACTGGCTGACGTTGATCTAAGTTCTGTACAGATTACAAGACGAGGCGCAAGGGCGAAGGCAAGTTCAAAGGTCGATCTCCCCTTCTCTTGTTGGGATGGGATGGCTCAAAGTGCAATGTAAAGGGGAAGTCCACCGAGGCTGTGAAGAATCTCTTAAATGATATTGGATTATGGGATACGCAGTGTACACAATTAGCTGACATTGCGTACCACTAGTCGCTACGCAGATCCAATCAGAACATCGTCTAAGTGCTATCCAATGCGTTGTCATCGCCGACTTACATAGTTGCGTCGGAGACGGGCCAATAGACCAGCAGCCAGCTGAAACTTGGCATTTGTGGCTGCAGTAAGGAATCAAAATGTAAGAATGAACGATTGGATCGCTTTAGGCTATTAGAACAACCGAGCCCGACTGCTTGAATTTGTGATTACGCCTTCATCGTGCCTACTTACATTTGCAGTCGCACAAGTCTCATGAAATTTCCCGAGCTGAAGATTTAGCGGTCATCATTCAATAGAACCACTTGCTTGTGTCTTCATTTTGTTATCCATATTCATCTAGGACATCAATGTAAAAGTTGATTCCTTGTCACGATGCTTAGCAGCTAATGTGAGGTGTGTTTGGATGATCCTCAACTCGAGTTAAAGGTCAGCAGCGGGACAGGATCTCAAAGCGGCTCGGAGAAAGAAAAAAGAACGTTCTAATGCACTATCAAGTAGCATGATTGACTAGTTAAGTCGGGCTTTCGTTTGAGTCATGATGGCGCACAATGGAATTGACGGCCCACGAGTACACGGGGCTTTCTCGAACTCTATTTCAAGCTTGTTTGGAATAGAGTAAAGTTTCGACTAGTTCCATCAGCCTCTGGGAACGTTGGAATAGCCTCGGATACTGCATCGTCTATTGAATTTATTGATGCAAAGATCTTTCGTCAAATGAAGTCATAAGCTCAGTCGACGGAGCTCCTAATACAACTCGGGAGGAATTTGGTCCTTCCGAAGTTGAAGAGTCTGTGCGCTGAAGAACTCCAACATGATGTCTAAGATGTTCTGCAATGAACTGATGGACATCCATACGAGTTCAGTTTTTGAGGGATACCAGGTCCAGAAGTTTAGGTCGCTATCGCAACGAACCTAATATTGACGATTTTCTGAATTTCGGACAGCTCGGTCGATCCAAACTGGTGGAATGAGCTTCTCCCGCCCGAGAATTGTGGGTGCCTGTGAGATTTGGGTATGCGCAGACGTCTTGGCACAGCACCACGTTACAGTGCTCGTTGATGAACGTGGTAGGGGTAACCCGTACGACCGCTTATGGCCGATAACGAAAACAGCTAGAGCTGAGCTCCTGTAAATCTGCTCATAGGCCTTTCGACTCAAGCCGCTGCCACTCACGATGGAGTCACTCGGTTCGGTAAAGTATGTTAAAGAGAACCAAGAAATCCGGCCCTCCCAGCGAACGCCGCCAAGACTGCTTCATTTTGGTATAGGCAGTATCTGTAAGCGGCGCCAGTCGGATCCGACGGTTGATTCGGCATCGAGGACGGAAAAGATGATTGTATAAAGGCGACGCCGAGTCTGTCCCACGATGTCGGCTTTGGATGGGAACAGTATCGGTTCGTAACTGCGAATGTCTGTTTGTCAACCCAACTTTTACACTCTTTCACAATTGCCCGTTATGTTGTTGCTATCAACACTTGTTTCGTGTCTTCCCCTGGCCCTGGCGGCCAATATCTATGTCGCCCCCACTGGCAACCCGACCCCGGACGGCAGCTCGGCCAAGCCGTTCGGTGACATCCAAGGCGCCATCAACATCACCCAGCCCGGCGACGTTGTCATCCTCCGCGGCGGAACATACGACGTCCTCAAGAACATCAACATCACGGTAAACGGCACAGCGCAGGCCCCGATTACCCTGCGTGCGGCCACGGATGAGATAGTCATCATCGACGGCGAGGGGCTGCCGAACACGCCCGCGCCCGTCGATGCCAAGATTCCCGGCAAGGAGCGCGGCGTTCTTCACGTCGAGTTTGCTCAGTACTGGAACTTCCAGCGTCTCACTTTCGCCCACGGCCCCTACGGCGTTTACGTCAAGGACAGCAGCAACTTGCGCTTCAACCAGATCGTGACTCGGGATAACTACGAGAGCGGCTTCCACATGCAGGGTGCCCTGTCCAACAACGTGATCTCCTATCTCGACTCTTACGGGAACCGCGATCCCAGGAACAACGGCGAGAACGCCGATGGTATCGCCATCAAGGAGGGCAAGGGAGAGGGCAACATCATTGTTGGCAGCAGGTTCTGGGACAACTCTGACGATGGAGTTGACTTCTGGTAAGTATTTTGTGACAGACATGGTGTCCCGGTTGCTAACGACTCGCAGGGAGTTCCACTCCAAGTTGACCATCAAGGACAGCATCGCCTGGGGCAACGGCTACAACCGCTGGGCAAGTCGACCTCTCACTCCATGACTTCCTGTACTCCAGAGCTGACCATTTCGTCCAGGACCTCCCCGACTTCACCGGCAACGGCAACGGCTTCAAGCTCGGCGGCGGCAGCGCAGGTGACATCCTCCCCGCCGGGCGCGACGTCGTCAACTGCATCGCCTTCGGCAACAAGGCCAACGGCTTCACCGACAACTCCCAGACGGGCAAGTTCCTCTTCGAGGAGAACACCTCCGTCTGGAACGGCGCCGTCGGCTTCCGCAGCGTCAACGCGACGGGCGTCCTCGAGCGCAACATCGCCGCCGTCAACCGCCCGGGCCCCCCGACCAACGTCACCTACGGCGGCCAGGTCACCCTGCGCGGCGCGCAGATCTCCAGAGACAATTCGTGGGACAACTCGGCGCCTCTGCTCACCAACGCGAGCTTCAAGAGCATTGACATCGGCCTTGTCACGGGTGCGCGTAACAAGAACGGCAAGATCGCGGCCAGCGACTTCTTGTTGCCTGTCGATGGAGCGAAGCGGGGTGCCACCACCTCCTGGAAGTAGACCCCCCCCTGATTTGGGTGCTGGCATTTTCATTCTTCATGTACATATTTTTCCCGCAAAAAGAATAGCTCTCCAATGAGACACTAGATGTTGTCATGGGCCATTCTAGAACACACATAAACTTGCATCCTGAAGATCTCTGCACACTGTCAAAGCCGCCCTAAGCGCCGATCAAGGCCGCGGTGCGGGGCCGCAAAAGCAGGTAAGCCGGTGATCGGCGGCCTCAAACCCACGGCCCCGTAATCGGCCCTAGATTGACGAGTCGGAGGGGAAACGGACACACGTGCTGGAGAAAACAAGGCTCCGTATCGTGCGATCCCGCCTTACTAATGCTGCTGTGCAAGGGAACATGCCTGGTTAAAAATCTGTAAATAGTGACGCGGTGACGTAATGCGGGTGTCAATGTGGGTGCAGGTCCCTTGCCAAGCGAGTTCCAGATCGTGATGTGATCATGCGCGTCAATCATGTTATGGCTTATCATCTCATCTTATCTTCACCACCCGCCTAGCTAACTCATCGCATGAGGCCAGATTATAGCGTGAACGGCTAGACATAGAAGCGGACTCATAGTTCAACTCATAATCTTATCATCCGATCAGCGCTAGTGAGCATCTTGAGCAGCACGATGAAGTCTATCGGCATCTTTCCGGGCTCGGGTGGTTTGGGCGGCAGTACCTACGAGTACCTGCGCAAGCTCCTCCCTAATGATCAAATCATCCTCATCAACCGATACCCAGAAAAGATCCCGCAAGAGCATCTCGAACACGGAGTCAGAGTGCGCAAGGCCTCGTACGAGTCAAGCCCCTCCGATCTAGAAGCCGCGTTTGCAGGCATCGAGGTCCTCTTCCTCATCTCCTATCCAAGCCATGTGCACAACTACCGAAGAAAGGTAAGGACGCCCCTCACTGTGCAGGGACAAGACCATCTCACAGGAATTCTGTCAGGTGCAACTACCCGCCATAGACGCAGCGCGCCGCGCCGGTATCAAGCACATCTTCTACAGCTCCCTGGCCTTCGGCGGCGACTACCAGGACACCTCAATAGCGGAGGTGATGCAAGCCCACCTCGACTCCGAGCGCCACCTCACAGAAGCAGCCGCCTCCGACCCCAATTTCACCTTCACCTCCATCCGCGAGGGGCTCTACTCAGAATCGTACCCGATCTACACGGCTTTCTTCGACATCAACGCGCCGGCGGACGAGATCCTCATACCCCACGACGGGTCCGGGCCAGGCGTCGCGTGGGTCAAGTGCAACGAGCTCGGGGAGGCGACGGCGCGGCTCATTGCAAACTACTCGTGGGACCCGGACCAGTTTGCCTACGTCAACAAAAAGATCCTGCTCACCGGCTCGAGGGAGTGGTCGCTGGAGGAGACGGTGCAGGTTCTGGGCCAAGTCGCCGGCAAGGACGTTCGCATTCGCCAGGTTGATGTTGATGAGTACGTCAAGCTGCCGCAGGTCGTCGCGCGCTTTGGGTCACAGGAGAAGGCGAGGACGTGGGCGACCGCTTGGGATGCTATTCGGGCGGGAGAGACAGCCGTGGTGACGAGTCATATGAAGGACATTATCGGGCGGGAACCTGAAGCGTTTGATGTGACTATCGCACAGTTGAGACAGTCATGAAGTCATCGACGTGGATGGCTTTTCGGCGGGTTCGGTGCTTTGCCGATAGCCAGACGACATGCGCGGCAAACGAGGAGGGATGAGATTCGATGTAATAATTACATTCGGGGGCAGTCAGCTCGAGGGAGAGAATAAATGATCAGTCGGCCTTAGCGGGAGACAGAGAATGCTGGGGCGGGGTTGGAAGCGGCACCGGAGCGACAAAGGCAACATGGTTGGGTTTCTGGCTCAATTTCCTCAGCAACGGGCGAATGGTTTAGTGGTATAATACTCGCTTAGCATGTGAGTGGTCCAGGGTTCGATTCCCTGTTCGTCCATTGTCTTTTGCTATTTTGAGCTTTTGAACTGCTTATAGACGATCTTATAGAGATCAAGAATTGTTTGCAATCATTTTTAGCGTACCAAACCATGTTTTCATTTTCCAACGGTTTCTTGCGATTGCTGGAGATTTGCGAATGGGGACTTGCCTCATCTTATGGTGAGAAGGTCTGTGCACAGCGCCCGAGGAGGCCGAAATTCGTGAAGGATGAAGTGCGGACTGCGACATATCCTTTTGAGTCAACTATTCAGCTGGGACCTTTTTACGTATTAAAGTCTCGTTTCTGAATAACGGTAGGTTGTATTGGTTCTCGCGCATGCTTCTGTTGTTCACTGTTCGAGCGGTGTTCCTCCAAAACAGACGGCAAATACAGATCTCCGCCTGCGTGTCGTGTTCCTTGTGGAACACCGGACTGCGAGGTGCTCGGAGCCCATCTCATCCCCGGCTCTCACTTTTATGTTGTGCGCGAACTGACATCATACCTTAACATGAGATGTCATAATCTCATGTCGTCCGTTTGTTCTTCTTGTCTCAACAGCAGACTCGCAGAGGACAACGTTGCCAACCTGAGTGAGAGGATGTCGGGCTGCTCCGCATGAGTTCGTATCCATCGGACTTTGTGATGGCAGATAAGCCTTAATTGGGGCCCCATTCGCTAAACTCACTGTTCTAAACCTAAAAATGACCCGACGTTGAAGGTTCGCGTAGAGCCATGCATCGCCATCTTCAGCTCCAAGCTCGCCATTACCGTATGAAAACGCCTCAAATGCTCTCACACTCCATCTTGTTAGCCGCAGTTCCAGTATACCACATTCTAGATTAAGCATCCTTTGCAGAGAAGCGGCTCATGCAGCAGGGCTTGCCTTAGCCTCCGCGAAGCTTCTCTTCCCCAAGTCAACAGCGCGATCCCCCCAAACTCCTGAATCCTTACCGCCGCGCTACCCCAGTTCCGGCAGGTCGGCTGCGTGCAATCCGGCACTTGACCTGCCTGGATCTGCTCAACGACCGCGGGGGGGCTGGGTTGGGTTGCACCAGTCCACCCCTGTTCCTACCAGTCAACTATCGCCTCCCTCCCGAACTGCTTAATCAAGCCGTGACGCCGGTCGAACGAGAAACAAAAGAACCATGGCCAACCGGACGGATGTATTGGACAACAAGCTCAATGCGCCCCCAATCGTCCCGTCAGCGGTCAAACGGCAAGCCTATTAGCTCGCGCCTGCATACCCCTCGTCTGATGGCTGCTGGCTGGCACCTTAATTGCTTCTTCCCTGAACCCCGGTCGTTCCCCCTCTTGAGAAGACGGAAAATCTCCCAGCCAGAACCTACGTAGAGTCATGGACCTTCCCCCTCAGATCTGGCTCCAAAGGCTGGCCAGGCAGCTAAGATTGTTCAGCTTCTATACACGGTACCAGAAGCTACCCTGCATGCTTGCCCAGGCGGGAACTTTTGTGAGTTGTCTCTTCGCGCCTTGTTTTGATCGGGCAGGTCTCCTGTCCCTCAAGCCAAGATATCTGACGAGCTGGGCGTGCATTCGACGCGGGTCGCCATGACCTGAAAAGGAAGGTTGCAAAGACTGCCCAGGCGATCCCCGACGGTCCGATCCTGCTGTCCCTGTTGATTCTGTCGCCTTCCCCTCATCGGTCTCGCGAACGACCATATAACCAGACGACGCCGCGCACCGGTTGCGCTGGTGAAGTTCTTGTCTCTGCACTCTCGACGATATCACGCGTTGTCAAGATGAAGTCGCTCGCTGTCCTTTCCACCACCATTGCCGCCGCCTCTGCCGCCGCCGTGGCGGGGGCTAGCTCCCAACGGGTGAGCTACGACGGCACCAAGGTTTTCCGTGTGTCCGTCGGCGACGAGGTCGACCGCGTGAACGGCGTCATCAACAAGCTTCAATTGAACACCTGGAAGGGTGTTCCGAGAGCCGGCGCCCTGGCCGACATTGTCGTCCCGCCTGAGCAGGTCGACGAGTTCAACGCCGAGATCTCGGGATTGAACGTCACGACCATGCACGAGGATCTCGGCCTCAGCATTGCTGATGAGTCCAGCTTCTCAGTCTACGCCGGTTAGTAAAACTCGATCACACATCTGGACTACCACTGACATTTATCCAGTTGGATCCGCTAACACCACTTGGTTCAACTCGTACCACGCGTACGCCGATCATCTGCAGTTCCTCAAGGACCTTGTAGCATCTTACCCCAACAACGCCGAGATTGTTACCTCTGGCAGCTCGCTCCAAGGCAACACCATCACGGGCATCCACATCTACGGCAGCTCCAAGGGCACCAAGCCCGCCGTTGTCTTCCACGGCACCGTCCACGCCCGCGAGTGGATCGGCACAATGACCAACGAGTACATCGCCTACAACCTGCTGACCAAGTACTCCACCGACACCGAGGTCAAGGGCTTCGTCGACAAGTACGACTTCTACGTCTTCCCCGTCGTCAACCCTGACGGCTTCATCTACACCCAGACCACCAACCGTCTGTGGCGCAAGAACCGCCAGACCACCTCCGGCAGCAGCTGCCTCGGCCACGACATCAACCGCAACTGGCCCTACCAGTGGTCCGTCACCGGCGGCGCCTCCACCGACCCCTGCGCCGAGGACTTCAAGGGCGCCTCCGCCGGCGACGCCCCCGAGACCGCGGCCCTCTCCGCCTGGCTGTCCAAGACCAAGGCCGCGCAGGGCCTGAAGCTCTTCATCGACTTCCACTCCTACTCGCAGCTCTTCATGACCCCCTACGGCTACTCGTGCACCGCCGTCTCCTCCAAGAACACCGAGCTGCAGTCTCTCGCCAAGGGCGCCGTCGCCGCCATCAAGGCCGTCCACGGCACCTCGTACCAGTACGGCCCCATCTGCACGACCATCTACAAGGCGACCGGCAGCAGTGTCGACTACGTCAACGACGTCGTCAAGGCCGACTACACCTTCACTCAGGAGCTGCGCGACACTGGTAACTACGGATTCGTCTTGCCCGCCAGCCAGATCGTCCCCACCGGTGAGGAGACCTACGCCGGCGTCCGCTATCTTCTTCAGAACATGAAGTAGAGTG